CCTCTGGAGATAATCTAGTCCAACCCCGCTGCCAAAAATTCGGTTCAGTCATAGGAGTTTGCCCAGCACCACATCCTGGCAGGTTGTACAGTCTCCAGAGGAAGAGACTGCACAACCTCTCCAGGCACCCTGTTCCAGGACTCCATCACCCTCACAGAAAAGAAGTTTTGCCTTTAGAACCAAACCTGCATCTGCATGGATTCCTTCACCCGCGGGGGTACATGGATGTCCTTGATCTCATAGCGCAGGCACCGGATGCCCCAGCAGTCTGAGGCCTGGTTGATGGCATCCACGATGCTGGCATTGAGGGATTCCCGCTCCTGGAAGAGAAGAGGCATTCAGCATGAGACAATCAGGTCACCAGGGAGACAGAAACTCCCGCCACAGGCCAAGGACAGCTAGAAAAACCCATCTCCATCAGCATAAGGCACGATCAAGTGCTTCCCACATCTCCTGAAGGTATCACCGTCTCCTACCCAAAACTGAAGTTGCTGGGACACAAACATCTGGATACTCACATCACTCAGGAATGACAAAAGTTCCTGTTTCTGCCCAGCAAATGCAGCATGAGGGTTATGGCCCCCCACAAACTGAGTCAAACAGGACATTCCCCACTGGCTTGAGCAAAGAGTCACTGACTCACAAGGCACGCAGATCCACCTCCCCAGCTCACCCGGAAGACTCTGTCGAGGGAGAGTTTGCCAAGTTCAGACCTCATGGTGGTCTGGGCCAGCTGAGTTACTGCATATTCAGGATCTTCCACCCCATAACTGGCCTGGAGAGCAGAAACAAAAACTGGAGTTAAGGGCAGCCCCAAGAGGGACCCTGAACGAGGCAGGATGGGTGAACTCAGCGCAAGGATGAGGTGCCCGCCACAGACCAGCAGAGCCCAGAGCCCCGTGAAGGATTGGGGCAGAGAGCCCACCCATGGCACGGGCAGCGGGGGGCTGCGGGGAGGAGGGAGCCAGCAGCGCGGCGGGGCTGGTACCTTGTAGGGGTCCATAACCCGCAGATAGAGCACACCATCGATCTGCAGGGTGACATTATCTGCCAGGAGAGAACAATGGGTCCTGTTTACTGAAGCAGCAAAGACAGAACACAGCAATGCCCTCTCCACCCAGCCCAACACAGGTAGCAGAGCTGAGCAGCGTCATTCCCTTCCTGCCTGGTGTCAACAGCGTGGCACAGGGAGGGACTGGCTGAAGGGCTCTCCTTAGCTAAAAGGCGTCAGGAAAAGAACCCGACTCCCCTAGAAAACATTACGTGTTGACAATACACAAAAAGCCCTTGGTTTCCAGATCAAAACATTTCACACTGTAGTCATCTTCTTAAATAAAGATTTAAGAGCAGAAAAGCACCCAAACCTAAAAGCCTAATACTAAATGCATAACAGAGCTGCCCACTAACCTGATCTGCAATCTTTTTTTACAGAAACACAAAGATTTTTAGTGCTTTAACACAGGAAAACATCTGGAAAATGGATTCCTGGGCAGGTATGCTCAACTCCAACAGCCCCAAGAGGGCAGTTGGGACCTCCTAGAGTGCCCTCACACTCACAGTGACAGGGGTAGGGCCAAGCCAGGGTCCCAAGGGCCAGGGCTGAGTGAAGGAGACACTCCACTCCTCCCTGCTGCCCCTTGCTCACCCTAAATGCAGCAGAAGGAAAGGGGCAGGACGCAGAAGCTGTTCCTTACCTAGGGTGACAGCTGACTGCTCTGGGACATTAATGACAATTTCTTTGAGGCTCTGCACATAACGAATCCTATCCAGCAGAGGGATGAGGAAGTTCAAACCCTGGGAAAAGAGCAGAATTAGATGGCCAAGGCCTCTAATCAGGGTGTATCTCCCCAGAAAGCTCAGTGAGGCTAGAGAGAGCTGTGCAAACAAAGCCCATATACGCTACACACTGCAGATGCTGCAGGCAGAGCAAACGTGCTTTACACACAGTGGAATTTTGGTTTCTCGGTGCTTTTAAGTACCCACCAAGGGAAATTAGACTACAGGCAGCTGAAGTGATTGCAATCCTTTCAAGAGGAAGAGCAAGCACACCACCCCCTGGATCCTCATGCAAAGGACGCGCCTCGCTACAGCTTTAGGAACCTGCTGAATCCAGAAGGGGAGAAAAGCAGCTCCTTACAGGCTCGAGGATTCGGTGGAACTTGCCCATCCTCTCCACCACCCAAGCCTCCTGCTGCGGCACAAAGAGCACCCCGATATTCACAGGCAGGCTGGAGTTCAAGCGGCGCGGCGCCGGGGCCAGCCATGCCGAGCACTTCAGCTCCTGCGAG